AGCCCGAAAAAAAAAAAAAAAAAAAAAAAAAACGGTTAGTAATCACGAACACATAGAGTGGTCTGCCTGTGCTCTAAGCATGCAGGGTCTAACATATTCTGTAAGAATAGTTAACTATTAACCCTTTTGTAACTCAGTGTAATACAGTGTGCGATCAAAGACTGCTCATAGCACAATGTCCAGTCGGTCAATGCATCAATCTTGTGTCTTAAAATAGTCTTTTGGAAAACCCGTTGGAAGTTAGGGTTCTTAAATTATTGATGGCCGGTTTCCATACTCGAATCAGATTTAACCGCTTGATCGTGGTTAAGAAAGTGTCTGTCTCTTTGTTTCGTGATCCATCAAATCGCTTTCGCCGAATGTCGAGCCATTTGATTTCGGGGCATTTCGGGGCTTCGTAGAATCTTCGTACGCTGGACCACGTGAGTCTAACACTTGTGGCAACGCAACAACTCCATCTCCCGTTTTCCCGCGCTTTCAGTGTCAACATAATGGATGTGATGCGGCCAAAAGCGAGGTGAAAAATGCACCAGTACATTTAGAAACTAACGCCAAGAGAATTAAGAAGCAATCAGTGGTCTCTGAAGTAATACTTTGCCTGTTATGCAAATGATGCAATGAAAACTTAAATGCGCTGATTTGATACTTTGCAAAACTTATTATCAATTCCTTGCTATGCGCGAGAAATTCACACATTTGATAATGAAATTCAAACTTAACGACGCAGTTTCCTTTGTCCATGCGCACCTAAGCCAAATTTCATTTTCAAATTTCTCAACCGACGTTTAGTTCAGTTTGAGCTGTATCCACTTCGCGTCAGGTTTGCCTACTTTTAGCAATGCGAGCGAACCTTTAAAAGGATACAGCGAGTTTTGTTTAAACATTGAGCATTTCATTTCACGTGAACAAGTTTCTTGAAGCCATGAGACTGAAAGCTCGCTTGACAAGATGGCAACGATCCTTCAAACGGTTTCATTCAAGCATTGCTGGGCTCTGTGGCTCTCACCACTTAGGACATTTCAGGACTGCACTGTACTAATCTTTAGTGGCAACCGACAAACAGGATAAACGATGCTGAAAGATGCAATCCGCCTTAATTTCTTCTTCACCGGTGAAACATTTAGACTACAGTCACCATGTTGAAGTATGCGGAGACAGATAAGAGAGGCAGGGCGATGGAAAAAGCCTTCTTAGAGGTAAGTACGAGTTTCTCATTCTATATAATCAGCAAATAGACTGAACTTTATTCTAGAACCATTTCTGGACATTTTACTGGTCATATGATATTTTAAAAGACTAAACAATCTCTTAGGAAAGTGACTTTCGGGCTCAGCAACAATTCACAGTGCCAGCAAAAACTCGATGTTTAATTTTCCTAGAAAAGCTTCAACACCAGTACTGTGGAACAATGATCTGAAAATTATATTAAAATGCTTGAGTTAGAAATCGAGTGCATGGAAAGTAGTTACGTTATCCGAGGAGATGACTCTCGCACATTTAACCTTACACTCTTTGTAAATAAGTTTAAATTTTGATAAAAAATCTTTGTTATAAGACCCGAAGAGACCGAAGACAACATGTAATTATGAAACGTTTAAACTTAGTTTTCCTTTGTGAATTATCAATCTAAACACCTATTTTTCTCTAGATTAGTCCTTGAAGTGCTGATTACTGTGCAGTACGTACATCACATGCATATCGGTGTCGCAACCCCGGCAGTCTACTGATCATCAGCCTGGTTCAGCTGTGGCTTATAAGGATCCATACCATGGAAGAACTGGGGTAATTCCTGGCCGGAGAAATGCCTCGAACAGATGAATTCAGGGAAACAGGAAATTTGAGAAAATCTTCCAGTGGGAGTGGAAAGCGGAAAAGTCTTTCCTGAGAGCAACTCGGCTGTGGACAATTCTGGTAACGATAGGATAGGTAAATAAGGACACAGGTATCGACTTGTTTCTTACAAAAATCCGAGATCAGCGCTAAAACGAGCTAATGAAACGTCCATTTTGAAATCGGAATGATCGCAGACGGCAATCACGCATTCCTAAGCTGGGTGGAGAGTTTCGCGCGCTCCTCTTAGTGCTTGTTTTACTTTCANGATTTGGTTAGACATTGAGCAAGATCGCCATTTCACGTGAACAAGTTTCTTGAAGCCATAAGACTGAAAGATCGCTTGAGAAGATGGCAACGTTCCTTCAAACGGTTTGATTCAAGCATTACTGGGCTCTGTGGTTCTCACCACTCAGGACATTTCAGAACTGTACTGTACCGAAATCTTTTGTGGCAACCGAAAAACAGGATAAACGGTGCTGAACGATGTAATACGCCTTACAATTCCTTCTTCACCGTTGCTTGTGAGACATTTAGATACAGTTACCATGTTGAAGTATGCGGAGACAAATAAGAGAGGAATG